AATAATAATAATAATAATAAAGATTGTCAAAAGCATTGCATTAGCGTGTAAGTAAACTCCCACTCTCCTACAGTTTCCTGCTCAAACATAATTTAATTTGCACATGACAACTTTTCCCCAAACAGACTAACGAGATGAAAGCCGGGGGAGCAGGACTGGGGCGTGTAGTGGTTCATTATAATATGGAGTAGCTATCAACCAGTCCATTGTAAGTTTGGTCTCCATTGTTGCCGACCAGAGGGTAAAAGTAAAAGCTTGCCTGAAGCTACCAATAACTTTTCTGCGTTTCTATCATCTCGATGAGGTTGCGTGTGAGAACGACAATGAACACCTGTAGAAGAAGATGAAAGACAAACGCTACAAGTTTAGTTTTGTATACTATAAAGACAAGTAGAGTGGTTTGATTTATAATTATTATGTTTGCATGAATACAAATCACAAATCAAGATGGCCCTTTTCACTCTCTAGTTCAAGGCTGGTGAATCTTATATTTTTTATAACACACACTTTTGTCACATTTAACTCGCAAACATGTTCGTATCTCCCACCTACATATTAAAATGTTTCCAAGTGTTGCCATTGTGTCATAATACTTTGGTAAGGGTTCTGTAAACTGCTTTTAAAACAGTGTTGGTTGACAAAGGATAAGAGGAGAATATAAAACCCCAACCACAACAAAACAAAACCCCCGGAAAAACAACCAACCAACAAACCAAAAAACCCCCCACCAAAAAAACCCAACCTCAAACCAAACCAAGACAAAACGAAATAAAACCAAAAAAAAAGAAAAAAAAAAAGAAGAAATTACCGTTAAACTATCTATAATAAACCCCCTAAAATCCCATAATTAATTTTCGAAACGATATATGTTTGACCACCCTGAGTAAGGTGTTAATTTCTAGGAAAAAATGCCCCTACCTCCTCAAACTACCCATCCTTTTTTTCTAGCCCCCCCCCCCCCCCCCCACACACATACTTTTTCGCACAAAAATAAATTATAAAATATATTTAACAGTTTGTACTATGTAGACCTTTACTTCTCAAAACTCAAACCCTTTCCCTGGGTAAGGGAAATAAGCATAGATGATTACCTGAGGCAAGAGAATCCCCAGCATTATTCCCCCTACCACGAGGGCGTGTCGGTTTATCCAGTCACCGAGTGCTTTCATGCAGCCGTCATTGTAGATACGGTACGTGTTTGCATTGTTCCCCTCAATCTCACCGTCAGGCTGTCAAAGAATTTGAAACAAGTTATCTAGATACTATTGGAAACTCATGCTCTAAAACAACAACCCATGATAGTAGGTAACAACTATACTGGTGAGGCAAAGTGGTGAAATCAGGCTCTCGTCCAAATACTGAAATCTAAGATACTGGCATTTTCCAGCCCGTTTAGCAATTTTTATCAATTTGTTTTTCGCACAACAGGTTTTATGTACATTTAAAAACACATTTCTATGAGGATTATCCCGAAAAACGTGGATTAAAGGTACAAAAAAATAAATAAAAAATGCAGATTCACAGTTTTCATGGACTCTCACGCCAAGCTTTGGCGGCCATTATCTCTTTTATTTTACCTATGAAATCAGGCTTTCTTCAGTCACAAATATTTCGACTTTTATTAATGACAGATGACTATTTTTTTTTCACCGAAAGATAGACAATCGAAAAAGCTTTAAGATGACACCAATAACTCCACATGCCCAACAAATTGACGAGTGCCTGATTCAACCGCGTCGTTACACAATAGTATACTTTAGGAAACTCGTGCTCTAAAACAGCATCGCTTCACATAATACTACATGTCGGTAACAACTATATTCTATCTTAGTCATTATCACCTAACATTTCAGATTAATCCTTAAACTGCCTAGCCCCAGGTTGATTTGGGCTTGGTACGTGTATGGGTTTCACACCCTATCACCACTCTTATGTTATTCAAAAGGCGGGATTTATTAAATATAACGTCCGTCTCCAAAAGGACAGAGCCAAATGGGCGGAAAGTCTTGACAACTCCACAAAACGACCAGAGTTCAAGAACTCACAGTCTGGGATTCTAACCACGACTATCTGTTCCGTAGTCCAGCATGACACCAACTGAGCTATCAGAACGCCCTATTCTGGACTCTATGATAGGATCGTAGAACAGGGCTGGTAGAGTGGCGTAGGTGGCCTAGTGGTTAGACTATCGCGGATCCGTAATCGTGAGACTGCGGGTTCGGGGGTTCGAGCCTCAGCTGGATCCAGATGTTGAGCCCTCGGGAAAGGCACTTTACACGAATTTCCCATTTGGCCCGGTCCTTTTGGAGATGGACTTTAAACTCGGAGGTCCCGCCTCTTAAATAAACTAACAGTGTTGGTAGGGGCGTTAAACCTATACCATTTCAGGGCTGGCAGAGAAGGGGTTAAACGTCCACACCAGTGCCGGATTAAGACCCAGCTGGCCCCAAGGCACACTTCACTGAGTGGCCTGAAAAAGTTAGATACCGGTATGGTGCAAAATCCCCCCCCCCCTCCCCTTTAAGACACGCACACACACACACACACACACACACACACACACACACACACACACACACATACACACACACACACACACATACACACACACACACACACACACACACACACACACACATCACACACAAGCACGGTCTGTCTGTGCGTGTGTCAGTCTGTCAGCCAGTCCTAAGCATGACAGTATGGAATATGAACAAGATACCAGTAAGATAATGTAACTAAGGTCTCACGACACTAAAATTATGTATTATTATTTTTTACATAGATTGCCACGTTGCGTGCTTTTGCAACAGCGAATTCATCAACGTCTTTGTTAATGTCGATGTTGTGCAGTAAATCGCTTTCAATTGAAACTATTGAAAGAAGTGCTAGCATTCCTAGCCTTTGCTGAGACATGGTTGAACGCTTAACGTCTATAATGCGTTTCAGTTGCGAAAATGAACGTTCGCCAGTGCAGTTAGTTGGCATTAGAGACAGGTACATCCGCAATGCTATCTCGCTGTCTGGAAAAGCTGAGTGGACACCAGTGGTTTGCAAGAATTTGAAAATGCTCTGAACGCTTCCAGTTGTATTATCCGGATGTACTTGCTCTTTCACCCAACCTAGGTACTGTCTAAATTACATTGGAAAGTTAGGAGAAAGGTCATGTGGATAGACATTAACAAGTGTTGATGTTGCAGCATTTATGTCTTCAGCTGACATTGAATCTTACTCTGTTAAAACACCAGACCGCTGCACTACTGTTGAAGGGCGTCAATTCGTCTGCATAGGGACTTTTTCCATTGGTCCATGATAACCAAGAATGTCTTCACTTTGAATTTCTCCTGACCCGACATTTCATCCATCACTCTTGCGGCATCTCCGTCATCTACTGTTTTCCTGTGTACACGTGCTCTCCGACTGTCTGATTTATATATGCTGCTTCCACATCGGTCACTTGCCTTGTCATGGTAAAAGTCAAACATTCCTCGACACTCATCTATATATGTGTCTAAATGTCTTAACAATCCAATGGCTGGGCTTAGTTCAATAGTTGAATTTTGTAACAATTTACTGCAGCAATTGAAACGATGTAAAATGTAATTCCAAAGTTCACACATGAAAGCAACTTCAATGGTGTCCATATAACTTGCAAGTGTGCCAGCTTCGTGCTTCGTGCTTCGTGCTTCGTGCTTCGTGAGACCATTCTGGTCAATATCTTCTGCAATCTCTTGTAGAGCACTTTGGAATTGTTTGTAGCCCCTGAAGACTGCTTTTGTCGCATCGGCCCGGGCAGACCACCGGGTAACCCATGGGTGTTTTGGGACAAGACATTCAGGATTTTCCTCAACGTGTCGTAATAAAATATTTCAACGAAATGTTTATGCAACAAAAAATGAATACAAGCGCTGCAGGAACTGTAAGAAAGACACAGCTTCCACACAGCCATCTACAGCTGATTGACCAACTAAATTTAGAGAGTGGCCTGCGCACGGAATATAATCCACAAGATTGTTTTTATTTTTCAAAATGTTCTGCATTCTAGTGTATTTACCAGACATGTTACTGGCATTGTCGTATGTCTGACCACGACCACGAGCAACGTATCTGCAAGATTCTGTCCTGTGTGGCTCGAGATGTTGATGAATGTCAAAGAGCGCTCCTCGGGCCGGTGATCTACCATATTGACATAGCGTAAAACAATGGTTAGCTGATCAGAATGGGTAACATCTGGAGTAGAATCTACGGAGACTGAAAAGTACCTTGGCTTAGGAATTTCATCCTTTATGAGGTCAAGAACATACTTGCCTAACAAGTTAAGGAATTCTTCACAGGTTGTTTTTGACAAGTATGAACAGTTGGTGGATCAACATTCGGGTGGGGCTAAGGTTGCTTTCACTTCTTTACCACCAAATAGCAAGCAATAAAAACAAAACAGTGGTGATTTGTCCATACTCACGGCGAGCCACGACATTTTGAGATCAATTCAAATTCAAACGAGAAGAGTCACCTTTGTCTTTCTTCTCTTTGTTCTATGTTAAATTCTTCTGGAAGCTGAGGACGAACCCGCTTCACCTCCAAACTTCTCTAATTAATTTTCATCTGATGAAAAAGTTGCCACAAAAGTGGTTTTGTGTAACTAATAACTGTTGAATCTCCTGTTGCAGACACACAAACATGTATACACAGCACTCCACGAGCTCGGGGGTTTTGTAAACACAGTTCACCTTTCACCTCATGTACACTTAAAAAACAGTCGAATTTGGCAGAAATTAGGCTAGAAATGTAGCATTCGCAGGCTTTTGACTCCAGCAGGGCCACAACTTTGGAATTATTATCTGGGTTGCCAGGTATCTGGTGACTTTAGACTTTATTTAGAGGCTAAAGGTGCTTGATTTGAAACCCACTGCTAATGATTCAATTTAATTTTAGAAAAAAATGTGGCCTAGAGAGAGGCCAAACAAAATGTCACAGCACTTTCTGAACTAGGCCTGGGACTAATAATCCAGTCGGACTCTGGCTTGGGCTAGCTTAGGGCTATTCTAGTTGTGGCCTTCCAGACTGGCTTTGCTGTGGCCTGATCAAAACGGGGGAAAATCCGAAAAAATGTGGCCTTTGTTGTACCCTGTTGGTGGCCTGTTTGTGGCCTATTTTTTTGAGTGGCCCCAAGGCAATTGCCTTATTTGCCTAATGGTTAATCCGGCACTGGTCCACACGTACAGCTTCTCTGAGTACATTTTTATTTGGGTTTGCTAGCCGAAATTTTGCTGTTTTCTTACCCCAACAGAACCACGGAGTAAATAGATGAAAATCACACATAGAAGTAGGCCTTTAATTATTCGGGAATAAGGTTCCTGGCGAAGTGAACATAATTAATGTGTACCGGTATTACTTTTACTGTTGAATTTTCATGGATGCACATGACATAGCCTTTTATACGAAATATCTTTATATTATTTTCCCAATCTGCGATGTTCGTTCTGTATGTGGTTTTAGAGATGCATCTGATGTGACATGTATTCGGCAAGCTTGATTTTTCTCTTCATATTGACAATTTTTTGTGAAAGCAACGTACAATTTAAATGTTCTATAATATATATTCAACATGTTATTGTGCTTTTAATCTTATCTCGCCTTATCTTATCTCGTCTATCTTGTCTTATCGCACGTTATTTTATCTTATCTCGTCTTGTGTTATCTCGCCTAATCTTATCTCATCTTATCTCACCTTATCTCACCGTATCACATTTTATCTTATCTTATTTTTTCTTATCTTATCGTGTCTTGTCTTTTCTTGTCTTGTCTTATCATGTCTTGTCTTGTCTTATTTTATGGTCGTCCGTCCGTTGAAATCGACGAAGGCCAAAACATCCCACAGTATGCCTGTTACCGTTAGCGTGTGACATGAGTGTCATGGTTAACGGCCTCTTTGAACATTGTGCTGCAGTGTAACGGCTGAACCTCCTTATTTAATGTCAAGTTCAGTTCTGATAATAGAAATCGTGGGCTCCAACAAAAATATTTCTTTTGTAAGAACATGGAAACCATAGCGATTAATCAATACAATTTGAAAAAAATCTTACTAATAACAACCCTGTAAATCTATTAGGACGATTTTACAACATTCTTTTCGCTATTTGTTATTGTTTAGAAGGGGTGCCCATTGATCGAACAAACAGGATCTGCATGATCTGACCGAATCGGTTCGGGAAATGGCGCTGCCTAGTATACACTAATCCCCAGAGCATATTCATTACCAGCCGTTTTCGTTACATTAATTTCCTTAATGGATTATGCAAAAGCTATCATTTTTTAACAAACCAACCGAATTCGACCTCATTCGACTGAGACCGTAATTTTTTCAATGTTGATTCGGTTGTATTGTGCCAAACATGATAGCCCTTTCCATTCCATGGCTGAAAATCAGGCAGACCGCGACTGAATTACAGGAATTCGATTGGCAGTCTGCACTGGGTATAAGCTTATAGTTATAAAAAATTGACCTTTGGTTTGCCTCCTCAAATTTGACTCGGAAGTATATTAGTAGGCTACCTGCTCCCCATTCCGTTCCCAAGGAAAAGACGACCCTACCAAGCAGTGTCATGATTATGATAATGATAAATATTATAGAAGTGTACTGATAGTCTGTTGCTCAACGTTTTCTTTAAATGCAGCCCCAACGTGAGCTATAAAATCAAACATAATATAATTATTTGATTTTGGCTATCGCGACCTTGAAAATCGAACATGTTTGTTTTGGGAGGAACGGATCTAACTGTTTTGATGAAATGAAACGAAGCTTAATATTGCCCTGTCCACGAAGAATAATCTGACCACCCTCAAATGTATCAAACTACGCTAAATCAAAAGGGCTTTGTGGTGATTTTTTTTCAATGTGCACCATGCGCAGGCTCATTACTCACAAGATACTTGATCATGTTGGCACCACACTGGTAGTTGATGGAATCACCCTGGGAATGAACAGAGACATACTATTAGATGTGGATCTAGATAACTTTTAGTTTTAGTAAGAGTTTTACCGCATTTGCAACACAGTAAGGTCATATAAGTGCTGAAGATTAGAGGTGTTACAAGAGAGTAACAAACACAAAAAAAGAAGGAGGGGAGATAGAGACGATATATTTTTTATAGGAAAAAAGGAGCAAACCACACCAGAGCACCCGCCAACCACCAACATAGATAACTTTAGTCATCCGTGAAATGTGCGCTTTGTTGAATAATATAAAGTTAATTATTTGCAAGAAAACTACAAGTAGAGGTGGATAATAATTAATTTCCTTGAAGTTTCTTCAAAAGTGCGCGAAGCAGACATTCTTCAAAAGTACGAGAAGCAAAAACTATTTCAGAAAACTTGCTGCCCTGGCAGAAGGCCTGAGTTCGATTCCTGTGTGGGTGAAATGTTTTATGGAACTCCATGTTTTATCGAGTACATGTATCTCCACCTTTCTAATGAGGCGTTGCATTCCTCTCGTCCCCGGTTGTCCATGACAGGCTGTGTCGAAGTAGCCTGTCTCCAAAAAAGATCTTGCACACGGTACCTCCGAGATTTTTCGCCTTTACCAGACAAAGCTAGGTGTTAAATCTTACTTGCACTAAGATCAGGGTGGGACTGAAAGACAGCAGTAAGAAGGAGCCAGGGAGTAGCAGTCGAAAGGCTGCCGAAAGAGTCAGGAGCCCAGATGAGGGGGGCAAACAAAGTGGTTGGAGGGGACAGAAAGTGGAGACGACAGCAGACGACAGAATAAAGAGTGCAAGAAAGGAGGTGAAAGGAGAACATTTTAGAGAAGAATATTTTTAGTCCCTGTCTGGTTTCGAACTTGGGACCTATTGAATGAGAGGCGAACACGTAACCTGTAGCCCACGAGAGCCCCCATAAGTTATATACGCTTTAGTATCTCTGGTAACACCTCTAATCGTTGGCACTTATGTGACACAAAACACGTATTTGTGTTGCAAGTGCCGTAAAACTTCTATTACTCCCCTCCCCTATCCCCTATCCTCACCAGAAAACAACAAAAAACAAAACAAAACACAAACAAAAAACAAATAAAAAACAAACCAAAAACAACACAAAAATAAACAATAAAAGAAACAATAAAAGAAACAATAAACAAAAGCAAAACAAAAATACAAACACAAAAAATCCCCAAACCAAACCAAACAACAACAACAACCCC